GGGGGGGGGTGCAGAAAGAGGGGGGTCCACATAGTTGGGATTTCAGCTAGCCCTGAAAACCTCTCTTGGTTCCCTGGTACATTGTGGTATGTTGTATTCATGTCTTGGCACATCGGGTTGAAGCCTGGTCTCTCCCTCTCCTGTGGAGATGTAAACAGTACCCCTTGGGTGGGTTAGTGCCCTGGTCCACGCCCACCCATGTCTTTTTTATTTAGTCTTTGTTTCATCCTCCTATTTAGTTGGCTGCCATATGTATCCCTGGATTGTATTTGGTCCCTGCCATAGTAGCTGGACCTCACCCCACCCCAGGAATGTATGTACATAGGAGCTTTTCCTGTATGCCCCATTTTTTTTAATCTTACCTCAGTGGACTGATGTTGTACTTGTTCTTTTGTGCTTGGCTTATTTCACTTAGCATGATTTCCTCCAGTTCTTCCCATATGGCAATGTACTTCGTGCGTTCATCATTGCCTTTAGGGATGTGTATGTATGCATGTACCACAGTTTTTTGATCCATTTGTCCGTTGATGGAAATTTGTGTTGTTTCCAACTCTTTGCAATTGTGAACTGTGCTGTGATCTACATTGGGGCAGATATCTGATCATGGTTTGTTTCTTACCTCTTCTAGGTATATGCCCAGTAGGGGGATTGCTGGGTCATATGGTAGCTCAATTTCCATCTGTTTTAGAAATCACCAGTCGATTTCCACAGTGACTGTACATAACTACAGCTCCACCAGCAGTGGACTAGAGTCACCATAGCCCCTCCAACATTTGTTGCTTTCTGATTTTTTGAATTGGGCTATCTTAGAGGGTATTAGGTAGTATCTCATTGTTGTTTTAATTTTCACTTCTCTTATAGGTAAGGAGCGAGAACATTTTCTCATATGTTTTTGCACATTCGGATTTCTGTCCTTGTGAAACTTCTGTTCGGGTCCTTTGTGGTCAGTTAGTTTTTTTCTTATTGTAAGCTTGCAAAGTATTGTAGATTTTAGTGGTAAGGCCTTTGTCTGATGTGTCATTGCTAAAGATGTTTTCCCAGTCTTTGGGCTCTCTTACTCTCTTGGTGAATTCTTTTGATGTACACAGGTGTTTTATCTTCAGTATATCCCACTTGTCAATTTGTGGCTCCTCTGTGTTTGTGTCCTTCCCTATTTCCAGTAGCCTATGTATTTCCTGTGCCAATGTCCTCAGGTTTGTCCCAATTCCTTCATTAATTGCCCTAATATTTTGGGATTTTGCCTCAAGGTCTGTGATCCACCTTAAGTTTATTCTTATGCATTGAGTGAGGTAAGCGTCTTGCTTCATTTTTCTCCAGGTAGATATCCATTTTTTCCAGCACCACTTATTGAAGAGGTTATCTGCTTCCCATTTGATATTTTCTGGGCCCTTATCAAAAATCAGTTGTCTGTATGCTTATGTTTTTATTTCTGGGTTTTCATCTCTTTTCCATTGGTCTGAATATCTGTCGTTATACCAGCACCACACTGTCTTGACCACTGTTTACTAAGCTAGTATGTATTCACATTGATTACGTAGCAGTGTACACAGTCGCTACAAGGTAGAGATAAATAATACTTTCCAACACCAGATGAAAACACTCTGGAGTTTGTCCAGAATGGTGTTAGGTCTTAGCTCTGCTTGTTCACTCTAATGTTTATTCGTTCTGTTTTACAAGATAACTTGTTCTTTTTCTGATTTGTTTAGGATTCTCGTCTAATTACTCCATTAGCTTTTGCTTTAACATCAGATAATAGAGAACAAGTACAGTCTGGACTGGAAATATTATTGGAAGCTGCACCACTCCCAGATTTTCCTGCGTTAGTGTGAGTTGAAATCATCTGCTATGTATCTCTCGTGGTACCAGAATACTCTCTTCCATTTCTTTAGCACTCCTCAAGGCAGATTAAGAATAAGACAAACTCTGCCATCAAGTCAGTGCCAACTCATAGCCACCCTATGGAACAGGGTAGAATGGCCCCTCTGAGTTTCTGAGGCTAACTATTTACGGGAGTAGAAAGCCCCATCTTTCTCCTGGGACCCGGTGGTATGTTGAAACTTCTGACCGTGCAGTTAGCTGCCCAGTGTGTAACCACGACACCACCAGCAATCCTTTCACTGTAAATAGATTGGTAAAGAACTTAAATGAATACTTACTGTAATAGTAAATAATCTTGTAATTTTTTTAAGATAAAATTTTAACTCCTATAACTGTAAGCTCAGGCATACTGTCACTTATAGAAAAGCTTGATCCAGGTGCTTCTGTGTATTATCAATTCATTATGCTTTTTAGTCTGTCACCATCTGTTTATTTCTGATGCAGTGGCTTCTGCTCTCCAGAAGTTCCAGCCTATCATTCTACGTCCCCCGTAAGAAGGGTCTCTTCTTCCCAATTACCTCTGTGAGAAGTGCGCAGTGCTCTCAGTGACTAGAGTCTGGTCGGGTGCCAAGGAGAGGGTCAACTTTGAGAACTGCCTGCGCTGAACGTTAGTTAGGTCTGGGAGGGCTTCCCTAAAGAAGCGTGGGAGCTCCTCTCTCAAAATGAAGTAGATGTTACCCTGGCAAAAGTCACTGTGCTCATTGAGCATGTTTATAATCATCTTGAAAATTCATATGTTTAAGACTGTAAACTTGATGATTAGCAAATCATCTAGTAAAGGCTCAACGTGAATGTGGGGGTGGGGGGAAATAAAGTGATTTATACAAGTGAATATGTGAACGTTGTGTGAACTAGCTCCAAAAGTTTTTGCTAAGTAATATATTTTCTATATGCCAGGGTTGGTAAGCAATAGCCAGTAGATAAGACACCTGCTTTCGTAAGTAAAGTTTTATTGGAGCACAGCACATACATTGGTTTTCATATTTTCTGTGTCATTTGGTGTGCGCTTACAGCAGCAGAGTTAATTCGTTGCAACAGAGACTGTATGGCCTTCAAGCTTATAATAAAAGGGTCTAAGAGGAGGGTTGCTTGCCCCTGCAGTTGCTATTAAGTGATCTAACAAACCCACTTTTCAGAATGATAATAGGTGGTCATCAATTAAGACTTAAGAAACTGTGGCTAGACAGTATGTATTAAAGCTTCCTTGTAAAATGAATTAATAAAATAAAATGAGTTAACCACCAAGGAGCTTTTCTTTGTACGCAGGATCTTTGAAGATGCTCTGTTGTTTTGTTTGCTTGTTTGGGTGGCTTGCTTGTCATTGGATGCATGAAGCAAGGACTCCGGCGGTTCAGAGTGGCAAGCTGCAGCTCCACTGAAAATGGGAGGCCCATCTTGCCCTGTGCATGTGCGGCCATGGCGTCCACCATTTTCACTGTACCTTTCACTGAGTTATGTTTTCAAAAGTTTTTCCTGACCTCTCACTCAGGTGTCTGTTTATGCCTACAATCTTATGTTGGGGCATTGTTTTCCAGTAAGAACAAACTTATTGTCATTGAGTGGAGTCAATGCTAACTCATAGCGGCCCTATAGGACAGGGTTCAAACGCCCCTGTGGGTTTCCTCCACTAACTTTACTCTAGTGGACAGCCCCATCTTTGTCCCATGGAGCAGCTGGTGGATTAGACCTGCTGACCTTGCATTTAGCAGCCCAGGGCACACCCACCACTTCATCAGAGCTCCTCAGTTTATATGCTGAATAGATAGATGGATGGGCAAGCTGAATTTTGTTGTGCTTTGTTTTTTAGTGAAACATTTAGTATGCAGGTAGGGCGCATCAGCTGTGTGTTGGGCCATCTAGACATGGATATTGCAGGAAGTAAGACCAGATGCTTCTGAAGTTTATATTCTAGTTGAGAGACAAGGGAGCTAAACAGAATTTCATATTGTGTGTATCAGTTTTGTGTGGCAGGGTTAGTATTGGGTAGTGAAGACCTTTTTCTGAGGTGCTGCATTTGAAATGAAACCTTTTGATAAAATGTCAGCCTTACACGGAATTGGGGAGAAGAATATTCCCAGCAAAGAAATGGCTGCTACAAAGACCCTGTGACCAGAGCAAGCTGGGGCTTTAAAGGACAGATTGTCAGTTAGCTTGGTTAGAACCTAGTGAGGAGAAGGGCCAGGGGGGAGGATATAGGTAAAGGTCAGGTGATAGTACCCTGAGATTGAATCTCTTAATAATTATGTCCAGCCACTCCTCATGTAGCAATATGATTAAGTTGAGGGACTCCATCATTATGTAAAACTCACCCGTGAAGCATCCACCACCTCTGGCTCCAGGCAGCATTTCTGGGCAGTCTCCTGGGGCTGTTCCCTCAAGGTCGAATCGGAGGGATCAAAGACTGGGGATTCAGGTGGAAGGCACTCACTCAAAAACGTAGCTTTGTAGCAATTCAGGTAGATTTCTTACCATTGCTGTGAATGCCAAGTATTAGATAACAAGATAGATGATAAGTGAGGAGTGGGTGTTCTTAATGATTTTTAGAAGTAACCCATACTTACAAAACAGTTCCAAGTGCCTCCAAACCAGAGGTGGTGTTACTAAAGATGTTTACAGTGGAAAAGAGTGACTCATGCTGCACATTTGCAGAATGTATTGGTACCCTGTTTTATCATGGGTACAAAGAAGGTTGTTTCAAGATTTTTTGAAGACACTTTCTATATAAAAAGGCCCATTCTAAAAGATTCTTTACTTCTGCACTGTATGTTTTGCTTCATTTTTATCTGATTATTTCTTTACCTTGTTTGATCCTGTCATTCAGACTTGGAGAGAGCATAGCAGCAAATAATGCCTACAGGCAGCAGGAGACAGAACATGCCCCCAGAAAAATATCTTTGCAGTCCATGAACCACAACTTGACACCTCCAGTTTTAAAAGATAGCATTCCTGGATTGAACATTGAAGAATTAATAGAGAAGCTTCAGTCGGGAGTGGTGGTGAGTGATAAATTATAAATAGGGTTTTGCTCAATCACACTCCTGGTTCAAACATCTAGAACTTCAGGTGGAAATGGAAATGCCATCATTAAAACCTTACATAAAGGTTACAATATTTTGAAATGTGTAAGATAAAAGGAAGAAGACTCATAAAATTCTACCATTCTATTCTTAGTTGTCCCCACACCCTAAATATTTTTAAAGAAATATTTGTTAAATTCCCACAAGCATACCGTGTCTTACCGTGATACTGTTCTGTAACATCCAGGTTAGCGAACTACTGGTGACCATCCTAATAAGGCATGAAATCTCTTTTTTTTCTTTTTATTTTTAATTTACTTTGTTACTCATTAAACTTTAATTACTTAGTTTCATGATAGAAATTTATTTTGATATTTTGTCCAGTGTTAAAATTTTCTGACTTTCGAACTCTTATTATTACCTAGGTAAAGGATCAGATTAATGATGTAAGGATTTCTGACATAATGGATGTATATGAGATGAAATTGTCCACTTTAGCTGTGAGTATGAACCTACTTTAACTGTAATAACTAAATTTTATAAATGTTTCTCTGTAAATGATAATTAATGGTATGTTTTCTTATAGTCCAAAGAAAGCAGGCTACAAGATCTTTTAGAAGCAAAAGCTCTGGCCCTTGCACAGGCCGATAGACTGATCGCTCAGTATCGCTGTCAAAGAACTCAAGCAGAGACCGAGGTGGGTACAACATTAAACTATGCCTTATTAGTAGAAAAGCAAATAATGACCTGGAACTGTGCCAAAAAAGAAACAGTCCCACTTCTGTCTAGTCGACTTTAACTCATTGCGTGCCTAAAGGACAGATTTCAAGGCTGTAATCCGTGCACAAGTCAACTGCTTCATCTTTCTCACATGGAGTGGCTGGTGGGTTCCAACCACTTGCCTTTCTGTTAGCAGCAGCGCTTTAACCACTGTGCCATCCAGTCTCTTAAAACATGTACAAAATATTAACTGCATATTTGTTACTGTGACAAATTCTCAACATTTGACATACCTTTTCCCTCACCTTAAAGCTTTCTCCTCGTTAATTTTGGTTGCGTTACTGTCTTGGACTTTCTAGCACCATATGCATTTTCCTCCATCCACTCTGTGAGCTTCTCCTCCTTCACGCACTTCTTGTTGGTGGCTCCCTGGGTTTGCTCTCTGCCCTTCGTAAAGTGCGTCATGCTCCATTAGCCAACCATTTCAACCATTAGCAAATTATTGAAGCTCCCAGGTTTTTACGTCCAACCTTGGGGAAATGGTACGGGGGCCACATCTGACCTCCTCCAGCTACAAGGAACAATGCATCCCACTGCATGCCTGCCCAAGGGTGATTCCTAGGACACCATGCCTCCATCTGCCAACCTTCCTTCCCCGGGGCTAAGCCCTGCAGGTCTCCCATGGCAGTGCACTTCTCTGCTGGGGCTGGTAACCTGTTGCAGTGGCCACACAAAAACTTACAATACTCAGGATTATGGGGTTTATTAGAGAAGTTAATAAGTTATTGTCAAGTTTGGATGAGAAATCCTTAAGGATACAGTCAGTCTTCTTGTTCACAGCACCTTTTTTTAGCCAACACTGGCAGCCGTGTGTGTTGGCCATTATTCTTTCAGCCACATGTCCCTTGACCTCTGCCCTCCTCTGACAAGTATGAACAAAGCTTCTTTAGGGCTGGTAAATGGCACCTGACTCAACAAGCCAGCTTCCTGTCTGAAGGCACGCAGCTTTACTTGTTCTGTGGGCTGGTAACCCAACTGTCCTGCCTCACGGCACAGCCCCCCTGCTCTGTCTCATGGTCTCTGCTGTCTTCACCACATTAGCATCAATTTCTCATGCACTCCACTGGTTGCTCTTCTCGCAGTGGTCCTGAGGTTCTCTGTGTCTGCTTATGAGATAGCTCACTTTTATACTCAATGGAATGGCAAAGCTGACCAATTCCCAAGTCAGAGTTCTCTGTACTTTATTTGTAAGCATCCACCCAGTCACTGAATTGGAGTTACAAAGGTTAGAAGATGCTTCTATGGTTTGTAGATATATTAAGCAATTTCACTTCACCACACACCCAGATCTTTTTAAATATATAATAAACACATCAATCTCAACATAATGAATTGCTAAGCTCATTACCTTTCCCATTTTAAAAAAGTTATTCTTTTGTATTCCTTCTCCTCCACTTAGAGTTTTTCAGTCAAAAAAAACTAGAAAGCTTACAGTTTGCCTCCCATAATTAGTCATTCATCATATCTAGTTGCTTCTACCTTATAAACATTATTCATTTCTGCCTTGTCTCTCTTCCTCCCCTATTTGATATAGGTCAAACTCTTCATTTTTCACAGCAGGCTTCTCAACTGGTTTTCCTATTTTTTCACTCTAGTACCTTCTTATCAACCTTCCTTACATTATTGCCAAAGTTTAGTCTTGAACACACCACACATGCACAGTCTCTCTGAGGCTAATCTAATCGGGTCTCCTAACCACTTCTCAGATGTCTTCATGCATTTCCACTCACTCTCTGCAGTCCTATCACAATACTTGTCATTCTAAAACCTGCCATGCTCTTGAGTTTACCTCCCACTTGTGCTTTTTGCTACATATGTCGGTTCATTTCTCCTTTCCCTAGTTCCTCCAAATGATCCAGATTTCAGTTTAAATAACTCCAGTTCCCAGAAACTTTTTCTAGTTTCTCCCCCAACATATGTTTGATGATCCTTCCTATAAGCATCTGTTCTGCGCTTACCTGATTTCACACGTGTCTTACACTGAAAAGTCTCTTACCTCTATCGCCTCTCTACCCCTCAAAGACGGGTTCTGTATCACCAGCACGTGATGAGTGTTCTTAAGTTTGGCATTTGCTATGTACATAAAACCAAGACATTAAAGGTTATAGAGTATATTAGGTTCCTAGGTAGTGCGAACACTCACTCACCAAAAACTTGACAGTTCAAACCCACCCTGCAGTGCTGCAGAGGGAAGGCCTGGCAATGTGCTTCCTGTGAAAATTGTAGTCGAGACATGTATACGTCAGTCCTGCCCTAACCCATGGGTTGTCGAAGTCAAGAAGCTTGGTGTTTTGTTTGTTTTATAATAGAGTGCGTAATGGATGAGAACTGTACGATTCACAAAATTCTCAGAATCAGATGTAATCTGGACAATTGTCTTTTATAGTGAATTGCAGTAAAGTTTTTCCGAGGTTTTCGGAGAGACTTTAAAATCAGTGATAAGTAAAATAACTTTTAAATCCTTTGAGAATAAGATACTCTAAAAAATAGATAAATAAATATTACCTTATCTTTACTCTTATTTTAACATGGGTGCATCTATCTTGACATGTGAATTAGATTTATCATAAATTCCAAGAAGGAAAATTACTTGTACATCTCTCTCCTCAACCACATTTTTTCCCCACATTTTTAAAATCCTTTTCCTTACAAGTTACATTTAGAATTCTGTCTATTAGATATGTCTGATTTTTTATTAAAGAATATCTTGTATCTTATTAAAGAATGTATTTTAACCAATGATACTGAAAGTCTTTCCTAAAATATCACACTACAGGTAGGTATAACTACACCACATGCTACACTGTAAAGGCTGAGGTATTTACCTAATAACATATTTTTAGAGCTAAGTGACAGAAAGTTCACTTCACATTCCAATTCCTTTTCTGCTTCCATACGTTTCATGTGTTAAGTTATTTCATATTAAATGTAGATTGTTTTTCCTTATTAGACTGGCTTATATTTCTTAGGCATATATAGTATATACCTAAGGTCTTACGCTCAAACAGAAATAGAATGTCTACAAACTTTGTTTTGGTGGATAAATCCAAGCACTATACCCTTTTAATTGAGTACCATATGTAAAATACATAAGCTAAGTGCTGCTGTCATGTAGTAATTGTTCATGTCCATTAATCTATTTATAATGAGGATGTTATTAACAGTATCCAGTTTATTAGTAGTTAAATAGTAATAGATGCTTTTCTATTAGTTATTTGGTAAATCTTTTAAATTGTATAAATTGAGTATATTGATTCAATAAGGGTGAAAACACATTCGTTCTTCTGTTTGATTTTAAGGCGCGGACACTTGCTAACATGTTGAGAGAGGTCGAGAGGAAAAACGAGGAGCTTAGTGTGCTGCTGAAGGCGCAGCAGGTGGAATCAGAAAGAGCCCAGAAGGACATCGAGCATCTCTTCCAACATAATAGGAAGTTAGAGTCTGTGGCTGAGGAACATGAAATACTGACAAAATCCTACATGGAACTTCTTCAGAGGTGAATCAATAAAGCACAAGCTTCGGTGTCACATTAGAAACTGGAGTGAGCCCACCCCAAATCCGATAGACCCACTGCCATCTTGAGATTCGGGCTCTAGCCACCCTGCACGGCCGAGACCCTAAATCTCTGGGGCAGCAGACAGCATCATCTCTCTCTCTCCCGTGGAGTGGCTGGTGACTTTGAACTGACGGCCTTTCAGTTAACAGCCCCCTCCATTTCTTTGTGTGTGTGTGTGTGTGTGTGTATCCAACATTTGTCTCTCTGATCGCACGTAAGATTAAATAGTAAGCAAGAAACTAAACCATGGTGGAATGAAGCATGGCTTCCTGAAACTCACTAGCAAAAGTTGTAGACAAAACTCCGATCTCTTTCTGGTTGACTCTGCTTTTATTTATTGCTACAATTGTTTTTAGGACATAAGTTCCAGAAAACAATTTTGTTTGTTTTATTCACTGACAAATCCCTCCTTACTATCTAAAATAAGTCTGCATATACGAGGACTCTTAAGAAAGTTCATGGAAATTTTTCATTATTATTCAATTCTGTCTTTTTATGAACTTTTTGAAGCCCCCTTGTATAAAAGTTTATATAATATAGCTGGGTACTCTATATATTCAATGAATTAATTGTCTTATAATAAAAACACTGAGGAACTTGTTCCTTGTTTTATGTTTTAAGATGGGTTAAGATGTGTGAAAGTACCCCACTCTTACATACTTAATAATATAATCTTTTAGCTTTGTAAGACTTAGCTGCCCACCAGTTAAAAGTGAGGGTGGAAAATGAGTGGTATCTAGAAAATTCGTGATTCCAATGGGATTTCTAAACAGACATTTTCCCCTGCTTTCTTTTTTCGAACAACTTTTTTTCCAAAGTCTAGTTGTTGGAGTGCGCACAATTAAAGTGTACTCTCGTAGTGAGAAGGCAGGTTGCAGAAGAATGCAGGCACTGGTCAAGATAGTGATTTCGTGGAATCCCTGAGTGCCACAGATAATTAAGCTCTCATCTACTAACTAAAGGGTTTGCTGTTCAAACCTACCTGTGGCACTCAGAAGACAAGCCGGGCACTCAGCCCCTAAGAGTGCACCCAGAGCTGACAGCAGTTTTACTGTGGCACACAGGTTCCCACCAACAGCAGTAACAACAGAACCTACTTCAGAAGTAAAACTCAAGCCTGGAAGAGCCCCGTGGGTGACGAATGAATGAACCTCATTAGCGAAGGGTCATTCTTTTGGTGGAGTCTAGCTAAAGGCATTCAATTTTTTAAAAGCCCTCTGTGGGTGGCCAATGTAGACAGGGCCACTCATGTTTTAATCTTTGTACTTAGTGAAATATAAGGCATATTTTATGCTTAAGATGGTTGGGTTTTAAAGTGTCACCTCAGAAGAGGATTGTTCTGTTGTCTTGCAAGTAAAGATCAGAACTTTAAAGGGGAAAAAAGTCATTGAGGATCCTAAACTTGGTGTTTGAATTATTCGTTTATTTGGTACTTTAAGCATAGATTATGCTCAAGAGGCTAATGATTGCATCATTAACTTTTTAAGCTTTATTCTTTTATGATTACCTGTTTGTATTTCTAGACTTAATGATATCTGGGTGTATTTCATGGCAAGTTATATAATGAAATCTATTTAAAATAAACTTCTGTAACCCTAAAGATAAGTTTAATACTCCAGACATTTCTATTTCATACTGGTTGTTAGCATATCAGTAGGCAAAAACTTATTTTTACTGTCCTTTAGAACTCTCCTAGTCCTATTTAACTTAGTAGAAATCATAAACTCTGGCTTTATAAAGTTTCTTTTCTCCATGATATGTTTTTCTCCCTCAAGGTATTAACATATCTCTTTGATTTTTCAGGAATGAAAGTACAGAAAAGAAAAATAAAGATTTACAGATCACATGTGAATCTCTGAATAAACAAATTGAGACAGTGAGAAACTTGAATGAATCCCTCAAGCAACAAAATGAAAAGTAAAATTCTCTAGTCCTTTATTCTAATTATTTTATACAACTTTCAATAACAAAATTCTTTTTTCAAACAGGATTGTATTGATAAAATTACTAGAATTATAGCTCATATATGTAAATTCATGTGATACAATTGAAGGATAATTACTTTTCCTTTAAACCTTTCTCTTAGAATACTTGTTGATATGATGGATTGATTTTTCCTTACTCTTTTTTTTAACCACAGAACTATTGCTCAGTTAATCGAGAAAGAAGAACAAAGAAAAGAAGTACAGAACCTACTAGTTGACCGAGAACGTAAACTAGCAAGTAAGTAGCTCCTTAATTGATCCATTGCGCATTCCTTAACTAATCTAGTGTTGAGAAAACCACAAATGATTATTTCGCCTCTTACATATTTTCTAGTTCGTTAACCTCATAAACCACCTCCTACACAACTTCCTTTATCTCACCACATCTCACCAAAGCATTTTAGTTGGGGTGATCAGATTAAAATCTGTGGATTTGGGGAATGGTTGCCTTTATAAATGTAAATATTTTGCGATGGAATGCAACAGCAGGTGGCAGTGCTAGGTAACTTTTAGTTTCTAGCTTCCTAATGGTCTTTGCTGTGAAATGATCCCCCAAAGCATTTTTATCTTCTGTCTTGCCTTAGAGCACAGATACTTACCTCGGTCATTTCTCATTTTCTCTGTTCTCTTCGCCATAGCCCTTCCCCTCTGAGGCTTGTCCTTCTCGCTGGTATATTACCTCCAGAGGAAAGGGTAGCAGAGGAGACTGTACATTTTCTATATAATGCTAGTGTAAGAGAAGGAGTCTGCTGCGCTTTCTATTCAGTACATTTATATATGGTCTTCCTCCTTGTCTTTTTTATAATGGCTTCTGAACCTTTCCAGAGTAATTCAATAAAAGACCTCTGAGATACAGCCAGTTTGTTTGTTTGTTTGCTTGTTTACTTTTTAAGACTTGCAACAAAAAGCAGCATTACAAGATGAAAAGATTAAAGCCTTACAGAAAGAAAGGGAAGATCAGGAAGAAACCATTGACAGTCTTAGGAGAGAATTAAGCAGAACAGAGCAAATAAGGAAAGAGTTGAGCATTAAGGTAAGAATCTGTTCAAGTACTCCCTTGTTTGGATCGAAAAGTGGTTTGCTGTTATTTGTGATGAGAGCTCTCTAAAACATGAAAGCCTGTGTTCCCTGAAACCATCCAACATGAAGTAAGTTCATATGGTGCGCCAGCAATTGCTGCTTTTTGCATGGGCACAGAATACAGAAAGGGGCTCCCAGTCCTGGATAGCACCCTCACATTGCTATATAAAGTGTGTGGCCTGCATCTTTCCATTTATTACCCTCATGATGATGGTAAGAATAGTAACTTAAATTTGTTTAGAATTTATCATTTGGGAAAAGCTCTTAAACATTACCTTTTATAAACTGCCTCACTTTAGCATCTGTTATATTGGTGCCTAAATGTTATCAACTGACAAATACAGAAACTGAGTCTCAGGTTAAGTTGCTTGCTTAAGGTCACAGAATCAATAAATGACAAAATAGGCATAAACATTCTGAATTGAAGTCTAAGGCCTGTGTCTGCATTGGCCTAGTTATTTGGCTTGAATAATGGTTGAGTCTGGTTGTAAATAGTCCATCTATTGCCAGGAAGATGAGACAGGCCAAGATTAAAAGAAGCTACTACAGAGCACAAGCGAAAGAAAGCATAGGTTTTAACACCACTTCACAGATTTCCTAGTCTACTCTCATGTGGTTATTTTCATAGTAATTCCATATAGAAGTACTTTCAGCAGCATTCCAACTGCTTATGCAAGTTGAAAGTTGTCTTCCCATTTTTTCATATTGCTTAATAGCTATTTTAAACTTTCCATATTACTAGGTTAACAAAATAGAATCCATGTGTATAATGTCTCGGCATAATTTGCCTTACAGAAAAGGAAAGCAGTTGTAGTCTTATAGTCTGTGAAGAGGGGACACGCTAAATTATTTTTCCTTCCTTTTCTTCCATCCCTCAGGCTTCCTCCCTAGAAGTCCAAAAGGCCCAAGTAGAGGGCCGTTTGGAAGAGAAAGAATCTCTGGTGAAGCTTCAACAAGAGGAGCTCAACAAACACTCTCACATGATAGCTATGATCCACAGTTTAAGTGGCGGAAAGATAAGTCCAGAAACTGTCAACCTCAGTATATAGGCATTATGGCATTGTGGAGTTTTTAATCTAATGACATTTCTGATGTATTTATTTATCTTTTGTGGAGCAGGGGTGGTAATTGTGACTCCAAAACATTAGGGAATTATTGTGTAATGAGTAATTTAGTAAAGATGCTGATCTGATACATGTTTTTATTTGTTTTTTTGAATAGAGAAATCTTTAAAGTTCTACTTCTGTTTCCGGCTTTTATTGTGTAAGCTTTCTTTGGTTCTTGCATTATTTTTTGTTCGCTTGTTTTTGATCCAATGCTTATTTTTTTAACCTTTTAAAAAAAATCCAAACATTGTATTTGCTTTTATACTGTGTTATACAGTGACATGTATGACTAGGGCACAGACTATCATATATATGTATATATTTTAATAAATCATTCACGAGATTTTGGGGGGGGATCTTACACTCATATAACAATTCATCCATCAACTGTATCAAGCATATTTGTACATATGTTGTCATCCTCATTTTCAACTCCTCTCTTTTTCCCTCCCTCCCCCAACTTCCCACTCTCATGAACCCTTGATAAATTATAAATTATTTTTATTTTTCACACCATCCACTGTTGCTCTTCACCCACGTTTCTGTTGTTCGTCCCCCTGTGTGTGTGTATGTGTATGTGTGTTTGGCGGGGGCAGGGGTGGTAGTGGTGGTGTTTATACATCAATCATTGCGATTGGTTCTTCCTTTCTCCCTCTTCTCCGCCCACCTTCCCTTTACCCTCATGGTATTGCTACTCCCATTTTTGTTCTTGAGGTGTTTATCTGACCTGGATTCTATCTGTTGAGAGCACTTATCTGTATCAGTGTACATGCTCTGGTCTAGCCAGATTTGTGAGGTAGAAATGGGATCATGATGGGGGGGGGGAGGGGAATTAAAGAACTAGAGGAATTATCCTCTCTCGTGTTCTAAGGTTTCTCACTTACTTAGTTGCTTTCTACTCTCTTCTTGACTTATTTATTCTCGTGAATATTTTTTGGAAATCAGACATTCATGATACAACAGCCTTAAAGATTAATAAATTAAGACAGTTAAGTAGTTTTTATTTACAATAATATTAAAAAAGATAATTTTTACAGGATTTAAGATCTGAGAGGGTTTCAAAATGTTCATGTCACAGATTCAATAAATAGTTTTCAGAGATAATGTTCAAGAATTTTAAAAGTAGTATGTTAAATGATTGCATTGCTTATCAGCTAAAGAACTGTAATTGTAGAATATTTTGTAAGATGTCTTAAGTAAAAACAAGGTTTTTTACTTTTTAAACTCATCCATCCTGACTCAGTATATCATTGCCAATAAATTTTGAATTTCTAATAATTTCCATAATTCAGATTCTACTCTTGCTACCTATTTGGGAGTTTAATATTTGTTGTTAATTCTGTTATGAATTGCATGGTGTTAAGTATTTTTACTCAGACCACTTATTTTGAAATCATTTAAATATCTTTATTCATGTATTTTCTAATACATTTTTATCAGTATTTTATCATTGATTGACAAATGATTAGTTATATCATTTAAATCAAACTATAAGTAGTGTGTTTAACAAAAGTATATTTTGATTTATTTTATTGCTGTGGGGTTAGAGCCACTAATCTTATGTTTTTTCCTTGCTTTATTTTAGTGAATTTAGAAACATATATTATTTTCATCCCTAGTATGTATATCTCAATTTATGTTTAGAAATATAATTTAGAACATATATTTTAGAACTTTACTAATTATGCTAAATGGCATCAATCAATAATAATTTTATATATTTATATTTGTATACATTTTATATAGTTATGCAAATTTCAAAGCATTTTAAAATTAAAGATGAAAACCTGTTAAATTGCTACTAATTCTATAGAAGTATGTTCTGTTTTCTTTTGAAACAATGAACATTTTTTATTTAATATTTTAAATTGTTTAAATGGATGCATATAGCTGAAAAACTAAACATATTCATCTTACCAAGGGTTTAACTTAAAAAAAAGAGTTGATTAAATAAAAGCTCTAGGGAAAAATCAACCATTTATACAATTTAGAAACTCTTGTCAAGACATTGAGACTAGCGCAGTGTACCTAATAGAACTTTCTACAATGATAGAAATAGTTCATATCTGTGTAATCAAGTACTGTACTTTGTGGTCATGCACACCGATTTGACATGTGGTAAGTGTGACTGATGAGCTGAATTTTAAATTTTCTTCAATTTTTTTTTTAACTTTAAATAGCCATATTACCAGCCAATACAAATCTCCCTATTTACTAGTTTGTCTCATTTAAGTCACTGTAATTCCTTGTTAACAATCTATATAAGCAGACTTCATGTTTTTTTATAATCTTGGTTTTCATTACAGCTTTACCTTATATTCTAAATATCCTCTCTAAAGAGCACAAATTAAGAGTCGAAGATAAGTACTACCACTTCTATGTCTCCTAATCTTTCTTTTCTGTTTCTAGCATGTGTCATACATACACACACACATTCACGTTTTTTTAATCAACCCCAGTAATAATGTGTACATATTTTGATTTGGGAGGGGCGGGGGGTTGCCCTTAGGGTCTGTACCTAAAATTTTTAAAACTAAACAAAAACTTATTGTGTGTATGTATGTATTTTTCAAATTTAAATGTTATTATAAGCAACTTTAAGCCACTGCCCGAGTTAGGATTTTCTAAGTATTTTGTATATCTGTGCCTTTTTTCTAAGCATGGAAACAAAACTTCAGTCCATGCATTGATCTATTGGGATCTCTCAAATTCTCTCACCAATTTTATTGGGAAGGATTTTAGTTCTATGTACGTTACCCTTGCTCCTTTTACCATTCCTACTTGCCACTTGAACAGGTAAATAGCCTTAAGGGCAGCAGTCCAAACTTACCAGCTACTCCCTAGGAGGGAGACGGCTCCTGCCCCTTTCCAGATTCGCGCCTCAGGAAATGCGGTCACTGTAAGTTGAGGCCGACGCAACAGGACTGCTTTAATTGAGATTTCCTCTTAAATATGACTAGAGTTTATAGCAGAGGCTTCAAAATGTTTGTTGAAAAATTCCATTATCTTTTAAGTCTTTTTCCATGACCATTTTGAAATTCCCTAGTAATTAGCTGTCTTAATTTAATGACTGGGCCAAGAAAGTACTCATGAAAACATAATTTTTAAAATATCTTATGGGTGATTAACAAATTAGTGCCCTCTTGGTTCTGTTTATTTGTAGCAAAGACTGGTTATATATCTTAATAATATTAACAACAGATTCTGTCTTGCTCTAGGACCCAAAGCAAGACATTGCCATTGAGTAAATTCCAACTTGTATAGAAGCAGTTAGCCTCATCTTTCTCTCAAGGCGTGACTCATGGATTTGAATCACCGACTTAACAGTTAGCCACCAGGGCTCCTCTGCTTTATTACCTGCAGTTAAATGAAAATGTGTGTAGATTGTCACTTTTTGAGATTCATACTTACATTCTGACCAAGGTATATTATCCAAAAATTATAACCTTACATTAATGTGATGACTGATTGTTCTCCTTTCAAATCAGAATGGACTATATTTACAGTTTTGCTTTTGATTTCATACCATTGGACCAAATGTGTCCAGTTTATCACTAAGTTTCTTCGCAGGTTATGGGGTCTCTGTGACAGCTTTTTATGTCAGCCCTTGTAGTTTATAATATGAATAGAAAACTCACAGCTACTGAGTTGATTCCAAGTCATAGTGACCATAGGACAGGATAGAACTGTCCCTTTAAGTTTGGGAGACTGTAACTGTGGGAGTAAAATACCTCATATTTCTCCCAAGGAGCAGCTGGTATTTTGAACTATGTCAACCTTGCAGTTAACAGCCCAGCACGTGGGCATTATGCCACAGGGCTCCTTCATATGAACAGCAGGAACCATAAATATGATGTAAGTAAGTGGATGTGTGTGGGACAGTGAAATAGGTTGTATGGCTCTTCTAGTCATGCTCTTAACACCATACAGCCATGTGAGACTATGCAGATGGGGTATATTTTCCCATTTCTTGATGGATGTGGGTGACGGTGCAGATGTGATTATATGATTCAGTTTTAATTAAGTGGCTGTTAACAGGGTTCTTTGTGGCTACAAAAGCTTGGAACACTGACATGAGGATTGCTCAAGTTTGCCAACCTGCTCGCTATAAAATGAGTCATCTCAAAAGCAGGACGGTGGAATTTTGCTGCTATCAAGAGTGAAGAGCCAAAAGTAGAATGTATCTCTTGGACCTTGAGATCCCTGCATATTGAACCTCCTTGATCCAGGAACATCTCTGTGACACCAGAGGAGAATAAAGGAATGGCAGCAGCAGACGCAAGAGCCGGATCACGTGACAGAGTGGTGGGCTTCCAGTCCCGTGAAACAAGGACACCTGAGCAAAGCGTCCTGGGACCTTAATTGGGAACTTGGGCTTGCTGATCTATGGAAATGGAGCTTAGTACCTTTGGATTAGATTCACTGACCTTGGACTAGGTTTGCTGCAGATTGGAGTGCCTAGTGGGTGTTTATCAGCAGCACTAAAAGAGTTGTTTAACATTGCCTGAGCAGGCCAGAGGCCTAAAGATGTGGCTGAGAGGCTAAGAACCTCTCAAGTTCAAAGACCTGCCTGTGAGCACAGCTGAGTAAATGTGCTGACCAAAGAACTGTATTCTGAATATTTCTGATTTTGAATTGTAACCTGTTAACTTCCCGTAATCATCAGTCTATTGCAATGAATTATTGAACCTCGCAGATATCTGCTAGAGTGCCGTGTGGGGAGGGGTAATGTCAGAATTGGCAAGAAGGGTGGAACCACGTGTGATGGACGCCTTGCAGGAGCTAATGGTAGTTTTCTTCCCCCCTCCTGGTGAAGGTAGAGGAGGTCCATCTCTGCATCCTCTACAGTGTGAATGCACCAGTAGCAATTTTAAAACAAAGCTTGTGTTATTGGTGCACACATATTTATGAACGTGATATCATTCTACCTGACCTCTTAAAGAAATGTATCTCTAGTAATCTTTGTCAAGATCTTAAACATAAAGAGCCTTTTTATGTTTGTGCTGATATGGGATGTCTTTAATTTTTTTTTTTTAACTATAGAAGGTGTCTACATATAAAAAATGCATGTTTTATAGACACCATATAGTTGTCAGTTTTATTTATCAGTAAATGTTGGGCTACAAACCATA